ATTCTTGAGAAAAGGAGAAATTTACCCATTAACTACAGGATCTTTAGGGTTCCCCACTTTTAAAACAGCAGTCGCCATGCCCTGCCACTTCCTTAGAGTTAACCAGGTTATTCTATGTATGTAGAACAATAAAAAAACAACCTGTTAGTATCTCCTTGCTTGACCACTTTTTAATAGTGTTTCACCTACCAGAAGCAAACACAGGCCAAAATGAAGACTCCTGCTTAATCAGGCAATTTAGACAACCATCCAGAAACATATATTTAGGCCTTAAATTTCAGTAAACATGGCTCAGCCATATACTTAAACCCCAGGCAGATGCTTTGTGTGTCTGCCCTTATATACCTTGATAAGCAGTCTGAGCGTGAGTCAAGGGGCACAAAATATGATGACTGAAATGCACCACTCTCTTTATTCCTATTCTCTTTATTCCTACATCTTAATGAGCTCAATAAATCCTGGTATCAAATACTTTAAGACCAAAAAGTACCATACACCTAAAATACATAGCATCTTAATATTTATCCTGCAAGTCCACCAGGAATTTAAGATTTAGCATATTGGTAATAAAACATTAAAAAGAAAAAAATGTTCCCTGCCTAATGCAGTGCCACTTTTTTGTATTTCTAAAATGTTAAGTGTCCAAGTCCAGAATCCAAGTAGAATCTGAAGAAGGTTAATTTCCCTTCCAATTGCAAGAGAAGATCCAAATGTGAAACTATTTCCAAGTTTGCTAATCAGTTGGCAATGAAGAATTTTACTGTTTCTGTCTCATTTTGTACTTACTACTTAATATTTATAAATCTGACATCCATATTAGCCAGTCTGACAAAAAACTTCTTTTACTGAAGTTCGATGGTTTTCCTTGGGATACCGGTACACTCAAGGCCTTTCCCTCATTACATTCATTTCTGCTATGCCATCTTATCCTTTTATTTCAGTCACCATAAATATACCAGATTCACAAATCTCTACTAAGATCAGGTTTCTCTTGAGTTCAAAATTAAAATTATCAACTATCTCTGACATCTATCTCTTTCAAATTTAACATATTGGTAATAAGGCATTAAATTTTTTTTTCTTATCTCTCCACTCTGAACCTAATTCTTCTTGTATATCCCTCCCATGTCATTTGTGGTGGTTTTAAAAAATGTTCACACATTATTGCTATACTCCTCCCTTTAAGAGGTGGAGCTTGAGTAAGGCCTTTAAGATTTATTTCTAACAAGGAGAATTTGGCAGCAATGCCAATTTTGAATCTATGACTAGGTCATCCATAAAAGACACTGTGACTTTCTCCTTGCTCTTCTCTTAGAGTGCTTATTCTATGCTAAGCCAGCAGCTGTTTTATAAGGACACTCAAGCAGACTTGGGGAGAGGTACATGTATTATGTATGAGCCTTTCTACCAGTGAGAGATGGTGGTCTCTTGCCAACACCACAACTGAGCCTTTTTGAAGGCAGAAACTCCAGCCTCAGTTAAACCTCTGATCATAGCTCCAGCCAATAGCTTCACTGCAACTTTAAGAAACCTTAGGTCAGTGGCACCCAGCTAAGATGTATCCAAAGTCTTATAACTCACAGAAACCCTGAGGTAAATGATGTTTGTTGCTTTAACTAGTTTTAGGGTAATTTATCACAAAGCAACCCATAATCAATATTGCACCTAGGCTCAGAATCCAAGGCATAGAAATGGTGAAAAGAAATGAACATGCTAGTTGAATGTTCTTCCCACTATTCCTCACTCCCTCAGTGAGTAACTATTTTACCCAATATACTAAAGGAGAAACCTGGAAGCCTACTTGTTCTCCCAGCCAACTGCACTCAGTCGTTTTTTTTCTTATCACCTAGACTTAATGCTTTAGTCTTCACCATTTTTTCAATCACATCAGTTTACCCAACCCAACATATTTCTATTTCACCTTATTCTTTAGACTTTTGCCAACAAGCACTTTCTTTCTTTCTCTTTTTTTTTTTTTTTTTTTTTGAGCTAACATTGGTTTACATTGTTTGTTTGAGATAGGGACTTCCCCACCACTAAAACACCCATAGTCCTTCTCAATAGCACACTGTGCCTCCCCCTACCCTTCTTTTGCCCCCTTTCTCTACCCCTGTTAGCCTCAGTTCTATAATTAGGTTTCTAGGGTTTGTTATTAGTTTTCCAGCCTGCACTTTTTCAAACACATACCTAAGAATGTCCTTTCTATTACAATTCACTAATTCCTATACTGCATATTCAAATATCATAGCCTGGCACATTTGATCTAGTCCTGCAGATTTTTCTCTCATCTCCCATGTTCATAGCCTATAATGTCCACCTTTGTCCATTGTACAAGGTGCTATCTTTCTGTGAGAAGATCATTCTTTCTTCCCTTAGAATTTATGCTCATTTTTAAGACTCAGCTCAAGCTTTATCTCAGAAATCCCTAAATACCATGTGCAGGTTATGATTTTCACACATTATTTGATAATATATTATTTTCACATATTATTTTATTGGAGAAATTATCACAAAGATAAGCATTGTGTCCTCCACACAGGAGAAAAGTAGCTCCTGAAGGAAAAAAAAATCTGTCCTCGGTATCTAGACATTCATTTATTCATATATCCAACTTTTATCTACAAAGCAACTATGTGATATACCATGGCAAGTATTTATTACATAATAGTGAACAAAATGAATATGCCCTTACCCTTGCATAACTTGTAGTCTTTCCCAGGAAACTGATGAATAAAAGCCAAACAAACACTATCCTATGTGCAAAAAAGTATTATGAGAGAGTACAGTGGGAGTCTAGTTTGTGTGGCACACAAATATAAACATTTACTAAATGAAACATTTTTGAAGAGGTATGTATAAAAAATACCTTCACCTAGAGTGTAAGTGGGTCAGATTCATCTTGTCCTTGGTCAACACTGAATTTGCTCTTTTTAAAAACATTGTTAATTTAATCAATCTCGCTTTGCTGCTTAAAACAGTCTCAGCTCTAAAAAGCAAGAAAAAGAACACAAGATACTATGAAAATTTTTTTTAAAGAGGCTCAATTAAGCACAAGTGGAAAATGAAGAATAACTTTACATGTTATCAATTGTACTCAACTATATAACAAAGAATTTTAAAACAATCACTTGCATGATCACACATTTTAATAGATAAAAAGTATTATTAAAAAAAGCTCAGTCTTATGGTGATGACACATGGGTGATTTGGTGACAGGAAGCCCAAGGGGATTACAACTCAGATGGGAAAAGGCACAAAATGATGTAAAAATAAACTATTATTTTAAAAAAAGGCCTACTCTATAATGGACCAGGCGAGAAAATAACAAAAATAATGAACAACCATATACCAGAGACATTCTGTGGGGGCGGAGTGGGGAATGGGATCAAAAACG